AACAGCGATTAGCAGACTTTTTAATGGGACCAAAAGAACAAGTGAGTGGGAAACGTATCGTATCTCTCTCAAAGAGTGTGTAACAAAGCTATAAAGCGAGGAGAAAATGCTGGAGGAACGTTTGCGAGGGCACTCAGCAGATGTCTAAAGTCCCGTCTCCATTGGATCTTCCAAAGAAATATGATGGGAAAAAAGGAAAGAGTAGTAGAAGCACCCGAAAACCGCAAAGGATGCATAGAAGCCTCGATGGATAGGAAAGGCCTGTATTCGACCCCAGTCTGCTTATGATATCGACAATGTAATGTGTTGTTTTACTGACTGTACTTAAAACACAATTATTGTAACGTTTTTCAAACACGGACTTTTTAGAAAACGAACAGATTAAAACATTCTTGGTCCACACTGTCAACTCACTTGTTCGATACATTGTTACAGTAGATTTTAAAACCCTAATCAAAATTGAATGTCCCTCCACCCTCCCGACCCAGACAGAGATTAAATTCTTTCGTTTTAGGAAAAATAACCAGAAGGATACTAACCTGTGCTATAAAGTTTATTAATCAATTATTTTATTAAATTAAACACACTGTGTAAACCAACTTACATTCACCCCTGTAACATTCTTAAAATCGGCGATATAGATTTCCAAATTTAAGTAATACGTCCTGTATATTTCTTATACGTCTGGATACTACCGACAATTTTACATTCTAATACGTTTACACAAGGATGGTCAAACACATTATTAGTAAACCGCGATATGTTAACATGACATAAAAAGTACTTTCAGAAAATGTTAGTTTCAATAATTAAAGTGCACGCGAAAAATGTCTGCATATTAATTTCTATGCAATTCTTCTTGGCAAATTCAATATATCGCCCGTTTTTATATGTACCCGTGATGCAGTTTCGCATGCAAGTATTTCGGCATCTGCCGATTTTTTCTGCCTATTGGTTGACGATGATTTATTGCTTATATTGTCAGATCGTATATGGCATAAATATCAATTGGTTACAATTTTGAAACACGTTCACTTTTATTTAGAGTGCAAGTTTCGTTTTCCGGAAAATATACGAATATTGTAACAGAGTGTAATTACCTCTGGAATTGCCAAACACATAGTATACAACGATGTAACAAATTCGGCGCTTATCTTGTAAAATGCAAATTTTATAAAAAGCCTCAAAATGAGCGCAGAATTTTTGATGGCGCTAATTTGCATAAACCATCCATTAAAACTAATATTATGTAAACGCCTTAATTAATTTCGTTGCTATCTCATTAAATAGGATGTGCCTCCTACGCCAAGTCATTAACAATCAAAGTTATTTTCCTAATGATAAATAACTTAATTCCATATATAATAATAACTTCCGCCGAATGATCATCATTACAATGCAATGAAAAGAGATATTATAGAAAATAATACACATTTACGATTATAATATTAAGATTATTATACACGAATGTTCATGTCCGGGTATCATTCTGAATTAATTTAATGGGACTAGGAAGTATCTGGGGTCAAATACCGAAACATCGGACCCCACAGCGAAAACACGACCGGTATTTTATACAGTAGCTGACAATGCACCAGGTAGGTAAATATCATGGAATAGTTTAAAAAGGTTTCATCTTTAACGAGCGCCTCAAAATCGATCGCTTCTAAATTTCACCGGAGTCATTAATTATATCATTTCCAGGGCAATCAATTAAACCAGTTCCGTGACGAATAATGCCAAAATTGGACGATCCAAAAAGACCGAGTTATTATTGCTCTTGGATTTATTTACTCTGTGAAAGTAAAGTTTAATTCATTTTCTGGAGAGTTTTATATCTGCTTGCTTTAGTGAAGGATTTCGAGGGCTCCACCCCGAGCTGCACCCCCGAATAGCAATCCATTATTTATTTATCGCTAAGTGTGAGGTCCCCTTCGCTGATATATAGTAGCTACCAATTCTATTTAATTGACTGGTCACACAAAACTACTCAGGTCAGTGTTTATATTGAGCAGATTTATTTGTCAATAAATTCGTTGCCGGTTTTTGAATTCAATTTAAGATTTATCATAGAACCAGATGCATTGCATTTTTCGACACATTCTTGAGTATTCAAGTATACGACATGTAACGTATCAGCAATACTTCCAAACTTATTTTGTTGCAAATAAAGGCATCAATATTGATTAAATTATCTCTCGCATATACTTAATTAATTTTAACTAATTACATTATCAATGTAAATAGCCGTCAACTCCCTCGTGTGAAAGAAAGAAAAGAAAGCCTGTCGGGGAAGTAAGTCTTTTAGGATACTTACCTAATTTTCATAAAGGGCTCCTATTCCGATGCGGTAAAATCGCTCTCGAATTTCGCCCTTAATGTAGATGGAAATGGAAAATTGGCAAGGAATATTCGATACCTTAAATTTGTCCCCCAGAAAATTCAATGAAATAATTCATTTGCCACAGAATGTTTGCTTATTCTTTTACTTTTTCATTAAATTCAATGATGGTTTGTATTAAATGCACAGAAATGGAAAGGACGCATTGCGCACAATGTTTGTTCACTTGAAGGCGACGCTCTTTTTTACATTGAACATAAACTTTCCTTAGTGCAAGCTTTCAGAAGACGTTTCCGCTAACGACAAATTATTCGTGAGGATGGGTGCTCTTGGAAGCGAGCATTCCAAGGGCACATTTTAGGAGTTGTAATTATATTCTTTTGATCCTTCACTTACTCCAATTCTTTTCAGCTTCTCGGTTTCTTTCTTTCCAGGACGGCTTCGCAATTATAAGCAGCTTCAGAACTCCTGACTTGTAAAACTTCTTCAGCTCCCTCTCGTTTAATGCTACCTCGTACCTTTCGAATGCTTCCCAAGCGACCTCCTTTCTTTTTCGCACACTTCTGTTTCTTCCATTATATTTGGCTTGTTCTTTCTCGTGTTCTTTGATTGTTTGATTTCCTAGACTTCATTATACTCTTGAGTTATATGCTTCCTCGGATTATCCCCAACATTTCGAACGAGTTACGCTCATGGGATTTATACACTCCGTGAAATAAAAGGGCTCTCCAATTATGTAGATAGTGGTATTATCGCTAGACCTTTATTCAACCGATTTGAATTCTTTGAATCTTCCGCTCTTTCGGTTACGGCTTACTCAATTCATTGACAGCAAAAGATTCCTCGATATTATTTCGATCTTTCGTCATTTTCGTTTTTTTTCGGATTCCTCGTCTCCTTTGTATTTTTATCTTTTTGGTTTGTTAATGTTTTACGCTTCTTTGGTTTTTTTCTACTTCTTGAGAATTCTTCGACTGCCTCAACATCAAGAGATGCTCCGCTTCCTCAATGCTATCACATTCCCCCACTTTCCAAGGTTGCTCAATTATGGTGCCTTCCTTTTCTCCCTCGTTTTCTTCCATTTCTTCATAATGGTCTACGTCTTCTTTAATTTTCCACTTTTTTGTTTCGCTACGGCGAATTATTCGGTTTTGGCCAGTAGTGCCTACAGGTCTTCAAATCCAGTTAGGTTTTTTGCAATTCCAGGATGGCACTGATACCTATTTTGTACTGCTCGGTGTCAGTTCCTTAAATTCACCTTCATCGTTTTCGGCGGCATTAAATTGTTGTTACTACGTCAACGATACTTCCAACTTCATTGGTTCGCTTGGTTTTTTCGCCCCCCCCCTCGGAATTCCCCCGATCCTACGTTTTCTTTCGTACCATGACTTTATAAGTCACCTCGTTTTGCTAGGTTTTCTCGCACTAATCAGTATTCTTTGGTATTTCTGGCATCGTCGACAGTTTGGTTCATTACGTTCTGTTTTGTCAGCTTGATCGGATTTCGTGAGTGCCTACGGTTTTTTGACTCCTATGCTTTTCTGTGCTTCGTCGGAATATTTTGACTTTAGCATTCCATCGCTTTCCTAAACGCCTAAGCCTTTTTAAGTGTTTTCATAAGTTCTGGATTTCTCGGTCTTTTCGGTTTCTTCCGCTTCTATGACTCTGATTTCTTCTTCAAAAATCTTCGACTTTTTCTGCTTCTTGCAGATCCTTCTCCTTCTTCGTCTTCGGTTTCTTTAGATTCTCCTAATCTCCTTGACATTTTTGATAATTCCAGCTTCCTGTGATTCTTCGATTTTCTCGACATCATCAATTTACTTGCGATTCCAACAAATTTCAGATTCTTTGGATCCAACTCAAATTTCCTCGCTGGATTTCCTCACTGGATTTCTTTACTTTCCTGTTTTTCCTCATCATCTTCGACTTTCTTCAGTTTTTTTAGACTGAACTGCTTCATTAACCTTACGTCTAGAGACACCATACTGCGCCGCTAATAAGAAAATGTTCCTTTTGCTACCGCAAGGCTGCTCACGTATTTAAATAAATTTCCTCTTGCATTGCTGTAGGTTTCAGTATCTAACGTGTAAATCTTCATTTGGCCTTTTTTTGAATATAAAGGATATCGTGAAAACCAGAAAATTAGTGACGGAAAAAGTATACATCCATTCACACTTTAGCAAATGTAGGTAATTGGTAACCCCCAATTTGCGATATCATTTTGTAATGATCTTGAAAAATCGTTTCTTATATAGCAGGATACAAGTCTATAAATATGCATCCAAATCGTTGCCTTAATAGTACACATAAGTTGACATTTATGAATATCCTATTTCCTTGAAAAGTCAGAGCCTAAGATAATTAAAAACATCAACGCAATCAGTACATTAACATACCATTTTTACCTAGCAATGTTTAATGATCGCCTCGATTTTGTACCTAATTACAGAAATGGAAAAAAAAAATCTGTGGAAGTGTGTAAGTATGGCAGTACATAAACGCGACGTAATACCAAAAGGGTCGTAGAAATGATACAGACAAGGAATTTGATTTAAAACTTTATTACAATGTTGCATTATTGCAATGAGTAGGTAGGTACATTCTCAACTGTATCTTTTATTCAATATACATTAGATTATAAATTAATGTAGTAGTAATTTTCACAGACACTTTCGTAAAATTAATCTATTATTTAAATATTTACAGATAAAGACTTTCTTTAATTTACAAATGTCTACACTATATAATTGTAACTAATTAATAAATATTGCTCGCGATTTGTATCTAAACAACACAATAAATATAATAGTCTATATATGTATTAAATAATGCATTTATATATTATTTACAGATTTGTATAGAAAACGTTTAACTGGCAAATAAAAATTATAAAAGAGTTTTTCTGTCTTTACTTAATTATGGCACAAGGTAACAAACATTCATTTATGTTTTGCTCGAAAAATTACGTATTCTGTACCTGATCGTTTGCAATTGTGTTTAAATGAATGGTACATTAATACGTTTTTTCAGTAACAGCGATTCCAAGAATTGCGGAATTAAATAAACAATGTAACTCGCTCAGAAATCGGCTTAAAAAGTAGTCGTGCTAGTAATTCTTTCAAGCTGAAGTAGAACGGCATTGACAACTTTACTCCCCGCTTATTCTCTCGTGTGTTAAAAAGTTCACGTCGACACTTCACAATTTTAAAAAATATTTTTGGAAGCATAAAATTATCACCCCGTTTAAAAATAAATATACAGCGATTTATGTTAAAATCACCAATAACTCTATGACGGTTTCGTAACCTGACGGCTGTTTTGTAATTCTTGTAATTCCTCCTCTTCTTTACTTAAAGGTATCGTGGAATGATTGTACAAACCTTGCGCCATTAACTGTAACGCCAGCGGATTTTTTTGACCGGAAGCCTTTTTAATTTTCGCCCGTTTATTTTGAAACCAGATTTTGATCTGCGCCTCGTTAAGCCCAAGTTCTTGACTTAATTGTTGACGGCGCCTTTCTGTTAGGTAACGATTTTCTGCGAATTCATGTTTTAATCGAGCTAGTTGCGCCCCTGAAAAAGCAGTTCGTGGACGTTTCTCTTCTGAAGTTCCAACTGATTTTACTCCCGGTTTTTTTACGCGCCGCGTTCTCGGACCTGAAATAAAAACATTGTCGTAATTGCTTTATTAACGATTGCCTTTTTTGTACATAACTTAAATAATTACGAGTCGCGTTATTTTATTGTCGCGACATTAATTAATTAAAACATGTTAGGTATCGGCCTATAAAAATTAAAGGAATCAATTTGCCCAACGGTATACAGAAACTTTAAACTTAAACTAATTTTAGCCCATTCAAAATGTACGCTCTTGTAATAGTATTGTAAGATGACTTAATTTTCAACTAATTGCCTGATTTCCAAGTGTGAATACGAAATTTTTTCAGCTTCAGTGAGCTTTAAATTGTTTCCTTTTGCTACCTATTTTATTCACCAGGTACTGCAGTTGCATACATGAATTGTTAATATACCTATTCCTCTTTTCTTTTGCTAACAACGACCGAGCACAACCTTTAATCATCTGTACGAATTTCGAATTTTTGTTTAATTTGGTTTTACTAGGTTTATTTGGGTTTTTGAACACCGACAGAATAAGAATTTCTCAAAGGTTTCCCAACGAAAATTTGCACCCCTCTCAAACTCGGAACAATGAATGTTTTGTACATATCCAAAAACCGGTCGATTTTTATATGCAAAAATAATTATATTAACTTTAACCCTCTGTTAGGGGTTTCTATGACCCACACATTTTTAAATGGGACCAGGGGTCAAATATCCCATGATTTGGAAGGTGTTTTCATTATTTACACAATTTTATCGATCTTTAGAGTTTTAAAGTTTCCAAAAAAGGTTTAAACCAACGAATGTATTACTTGAAATGATTCCACTCACTTTCATACAGTAATCTTGATTCAAACCCAGATCTTGCACTTCTCAGGACCTCAGGCCTCACGACTTCGTCGATAATTTTTGTCGTAGTACAAATTTTCGTTGGTGTTCTTGTAATGACCTGAACCTCAAAATTATCAAATTCACTTTAATATTACGGTTCACAATACAAGGCAAAATCGGCTCAGAAATGTCTAGTGATATGGGCAATCGTATGTACAGATGAGCAGACAAAGCGGCTTCAACAGCGTATCCTTCGGAAATACCGTAGAAATTAGTCTAATGAAGAAGTTCGGTCATAGCAGCAATTTTGTATAACATATTTTTAAGTTCGTTCTGATTTACCTAGCGAATGGCATGAATTTTGATAAAAATAACCTAACATTTCTTGCTCCAAATTCCGAATTTGATAAAATTTAGTAGGAAGGGGCTTTAAACGTGTAGGTGTAGATAATGATTTAAAATCAATTTTTGAAATGAATTCTATCTACAATTTCGACCGTCAAACGAAAATTGTTGTTGCTAATTTCACAAAATTTACTGTGTACATATATTTAACTAAAAATCAAATTAGTGAAAAAATAAACATTTTTCGGACTGTTGGATTCAATCGAAAATCTTGTACCCTTGGCAAATATTTCTGTTTTGGGCTCCACCAACGTCCAGTTTTAATACACTATTGGGCACAACAATGTAATGTGGTTTTAGGACGTTTGTATAGGTTTTTTAACTACCTTTATATGACGATTCTACCACAGAATATTCTCCTCTAAGGATTTTAACCCCCGCTATATTCGTCTTGGGGAAAATTCATTTCCAAAAAAATTTATTGCGGGTTCCTTCGTCCTGGTGAATTGACGCCAGTTTTCCGAGACGGAATGCAAGCTTCCCTAGGAGAATGTCCTGAGGAAAATTTGGCGGGAGCAGATTTCCTTTCATTGCTCATCGAAAATATTGAAGGTCGGTTACGATGTCTATCGAATAGTTTTGGCTAATTGGGCGTCCTTAGTATATTGAGCCGACCCGTGTGGCGCAGTTGCTCGACTGCGGTACTAAGGGCCCGTGGTTCAAATCCGGGTTCGAGCATAGATATTTGTAAATGTATAGGAGGTTGGGTTGGTGGAGCAGCCTTGGCTAAAACCCCGCTCACTCAAAAATAAAAGCCAAAAATAGAGAAAATCACTCCTGTCCTCTTTGTGTCTGAAAGCAGAGATCGATTGGAGCTGAACCTTATCTTTTACAATAATTTTTGCAATAGGTAGTGTGTTATCTTAAGGGGAGGCATCCCCATGAATTATTTCCTGACATGCTGAAAGTAAGCCATGCCTAATTTTTACATGCAATTTGTCTCAGATTTTGCGTAGGCATGCCCCTAGTGGTGCCAAATAAAACTTTTAAAAATGGACTAAACACACGCGCTACCTGTTATGGTATTACAATGAAAGCTCCCTCAAAAATAATTGGTTTCTACAAAATAAAACTTTCCTCCGCGACTCCTTTTCGAGATCATTAGTTGCGGTGGGAGAGGGGGTTGTTAAAGATTGATTTTATCTTTCATGGCATTCGAATTAAATGCTTTAACGAAAGGAACTGTTTTCTGAATTCTGTTAACCACAGTCCTGCTTCTTAACCTCTTAATAAAGTCGGGGGTATGGAAAGGGGAATTGGTTTATGGCACTCTAATGAAAGGTCCTAATCCTAACGAAAGGAGTCAATTTCTACCTACCACGGTCCTAGAGCTCTTATTCTGGTCGAATGGAGTCTGGAAGAGATATATCTATTGGTCAAAACTTTAAGAGCAAATATCTTGAAAACGGTCTGTCGGATAGTACCCACAAAAGCAAAATGAATCGTCTGGACGAAACATACGAGGTCAGGCTAGAGACGAGACTGCTTATAAAAAAGGGTTGTATTTTAAAAATGATTCTACAAACGAATTCTCCCCTTTAATGTGCCTCCCTCCCCTTGCTACTTACTCCACTCGTTTTTTCCATTTTCCAACGCAATGCTGGAAGTCTTCCTTTTTAAGAGCATTTATGAGCCCTGTCGTTTTTCGCTTCACCTCTTCCATCGACTCAAACCGGGTGCTTAATCTTCAGAAACAGAAAAAAGGCGCAGGGTGCTAAATCAGGCAAGTACGCCAGTAACGATTGATGCGTTGCTCGTGTTTTCCGTCACACATTGTAATAGGCACAAGAAATAAATACATTCGTTTCTAACCTCTCACTAGCCCTCTAGGAAGCCTTCTGCGCGCGTAGTCTCGTTATTTAATAGCCAGATCTCGTGTCTATTGGTTAAGTCGAAACGAATATCTCAAGAACGATGTATTGGAAGAGGGTACTCATAAAGGGCAGATGGAGCGTCTGGACGAGCGGCATCCACTGGTGATACCAAAGCTTTCAGTGAAACTATCTGCAGAACGGTGTGTGGGAGGAAGTTACTCTCAAAAGGCAATTGGAACGTCTAGACGAGACATACTTACTGCCCATTTAAAAATTTCAATGTGAATATCTCGAAAATGGAATGTCGGCTTGATCATTTTTGCATTATATAGCGTACATTTTGAATGTGTTACAGGTGGCCTTGTAATGTTTATATCTAAACATAAATATAGGATGCTACTAAAGCGGCAGAACACCTCGGTGTGACCTTACGGGGTGTTTGGATTTAATCCATTTTCAATAGACTTGTTACATGTGGAGTTTTTCAATAATGCTGAAGTTGATATGCTCCCATGGCCTTCCCGTTTGCCGGATCTATCACGAATTGAACAAGTGTGGAATATGACGGGTCGCGGACTAGATGCTGTAGAACCCACAACCAGACAGTTTAAAAGATTTTAAAAGGGGTATTTCAGAATTTTGGGGCAGTAGACCAAGGCATCAATTCGCTAATTTCCAATGTGTCCAACCGAACAGCTAAATGCGCAAGAAACAATGTAGGATCCACGCATTAACAGTTTGTTTGAATTTGTTGTAATTGTATCATGATGAAATTTTCTTGCTTCGAAATAAATAGAATTATCCTGAAAATTTCATCATAATTGATCAAAGTACACTAGGTATACAGCCAGACCTTTATTTGCTTTGAGAAGTGATTTTGGTTGCATATAATTAGGCGCCCTTCAGAAGCGATTTTGTCATTTAAAAGTAGACGCAGGCACAATACACGTAAATTCCTATGTCTACTTCTTAATAAATATCACAGTAAGTATATAATAAAAGCAATACATTAAGGATGTTCAAAAACAATAAAAAAATAAAATAACAATGAAATAACAAAAACTACCAATGAGCCATCGGGAGCAATACTACTTCACTTTACTCCACACGTTAGAATATTGAAGAATAGATGGCTAAACCTAGGTATAACCTTTTCGGTCAGGAGAAATTGACAGTCATCCAATCGGATCGGATGACGGATTTCCAAAGCAGAGAAAGTGACCATCTCTCGTCACGGTTCAAATTGTTTGGGTGCTTGAAGATCTCAATGCCCTCGCGGATTTTTCTTTGGTAGAAGAAGGGAGAATGGAATAGAGACTTTGCTTCTTGAAACAGAATCTTGTGACTTTATTGAAGAAAATGTGCAGCAGTTCGATGACTTGAAACACGTTCGTTCTCGGAAATTGGAGTGAGATACATACCTCGTAATACCGAGAAAAAAGTCGCCAGGAATTGGTCACGTTCGGCTTAGTGTCCCTTGTACACTTGTCGGCGATGTAGGCATTTCAGAAGAAAATAGCTCACAGAACACTCGTGGGACCTTTGGTGAAATTCGTGCACTACACCAGATTGTAACAAGAATATCGCAAGTCATTTTTGTCTGTAACATCAATATCCAAATAGACGAATTAATTGTCTTACATAATTGTAGTAACAGTAAAAAATGAAGGGTAGTAGAGGAAATAACGACGTTACATAAATTAATGTATGCATCAGCAAAGTTACTACAAAACAAGCTCAAACCCAAAAACTCAAAAAATTGTGGTGGAAATACGTCCCCATCTTCCTCTTAGACTATCGGTATATTGTACTCATTATTGTACTTGATAGTGTGCACGTGTCGTAGGCATTTTGTATAATTCGTCGTTTTATAAATGCCTATCCCTAGGATAGCTTCTACAAAAGCTTGGATGCTTTTTATACTGGTAAGTAATATAATGATTTAATTTAATGAAAACTTAAGAGTACATTAAACACAGTCATTTTATAAACTACCTGGTCATTTCTTCCCCTTCTAGATAGATATGGGATACATTTATTGGTTTCGAAGGGGACGGGGACTAAATCGCGTAGTCGTAGAAAGTACACTGTGCTTCAGTTTGCCCATAGAGAAACCACATGAGTTTGTCCGCGTTTTATAAATTACCTAGGCGTTTTATAAAATTATATATGTGATAAATCTTCTGGAAGTTGTTTTAATAAATAAATTTTAATTAAAATAAATTAGGTGGTGGTATTACTAACCACGCAAGTAGGTACCGCAAACGTGCAATTTATACTTAATTGACTAAAATATTTAGAAAGTTCAAAATGACTGAAAAATATTTAGTCATTTACTAAATGACTGAAATGAATTCAGTCACTTACTAAATGCTCGAAAAGCAACCGGAAGATTGTAAAATACGAGCATATCGTATCTATTTTATCTGCCGGCGTTTTATAAAATGCCCAGACATTCTATAAAATGACGAATTATACAAAATGCCTACGGCACACGCATTACCGTTAAGAAGTGTACCTGCCCACCAAGGCATTTACAGAATGTGTGCGAAGAAAAGAAGAATATTGCAATCTCAAAACGTGATAGGTGTACCTAGGCCAAGATACCACCAAATAAATTAATTCATACCGTAGCAAACGATTCTGTCTTCTTTGGCTTTGCTGTGAAAGTATGCTACAGTATTCTGTGATTTTACAAACTGGTCATTTTGTGCAGAAAATAAAACAAAAAAACAATCTATACTACTTGCAGGACCAAATTATACATATATTCCGAAATTGCATAAATATCATGTTGACACCAATGTAACCTTAGAGTGCAGTTAAAGCTTTTGCTAGTATTAAAGCTATAAGCTACAAAATTGCCTCGAAAGTCGATAACCATAACACATTATAAGGTATATCAATGTATAATAATCAATATATTTTCCATTTACAATTTACAAGAAGAATGAATTAATGATAATTAGGGTTGTAGAAACACAGGTTGACATGAAAAGTTCAGGATTTCTTGGAAATCTAGCTTTTTACTTTTTATAGTTACTAATAATAAACTAACCCTTTTTTTGTCAAGCTAACAATGTCTGCTTAATAGATGTTGTCTTGTATCAAACTAAAAAATAACGTTTCGACGGTAAAAGTATCACTGTCATGAATTTTTCTTTAATTGGTTTGAAGAAACCATGGCAGGAATTAATGCCCATCAGCTCTATAGTTGATATTTTTAAAAAATGCCGATTATTCACTTTAAGATTGTACATATATGATTGAAACAAAGAAAATGTATTCAAAATTTAGACGAAATATGCTATCTTGGATAAAGGTGAGAAACCATTGAGAGGGTATTGACCAAAATATGCTATCAAAATAAAGTTTGCACATTTACGCTAATTAACATGTAGTAGTAACCATTAATTTGCCAATATAATTAATTATACCTCTTTGATAACCCTGTAATAAATTGCTTATTAAATGATTATTCATTTGTGCACGAGATATAAATCAATAAAAAAATTGAGTAAAATTCACGGTTTGTAATAACTTACGTAGATATAGTCTAGCATTTTTAACAATAAATAATATTGTCGGAGGTAAAGTGTGATCGAAACATGGAAGCGTGTACATTGGGGGTTAACACGAAACGGTTAACAAAGGCGTTAACTAATGTAATCGGTTGAAGTATATTATCCTGGCAATTTTTTGTCCTTGCATTGTGAAGATGTCGAGTATTTATTATTAAGTGAAAGGTCTTTCAATTTACGTGAAAATTATTTTAGTCAATACAAAAGCGGAGAATTCGTGCAAGTCATTTTCATCACTTATTGGAGAAACTTTCCAAAAGCATTTTGTTTGCTAAGATGAAAGGATGCAAAACGTGCAAAGAGGGTTCACTTGTGAATTAAGTTAAAGCTGATCATTAATCACCTTTCCGATGGGCAAATCTCTAAATACGCTTGATGGATTAACTGACGTTTACTTTTACAATACAAACACCTTCTCAATTTCTTCCTTGTAAGGCGCATACATTTTCTTGATGTACATCATTCCTCCGAAACCATTAAGACATGAATTTTGACAGTTATTAGTTTATCTTTAAGACAATGCTTGACGTAAATGCAATTAGCGAATTGTGTTGACAGATAGGGGAATGTACCTAGTAGATTACAGTCGTAATACACGAAATTCGAGTGAAATGTTTCACATAATAACCTAACTTGTCTTACAAGGGTAGGTACAGAACGATAAATTAATCCCTATAATTAAAAATAAAATTAATTGCCTCACTATTTTGCAGGTGGATCGAACGTCTTCCGTCTATCGGTACGGTACTAAATTTACTTACTTCGTCCTATAACAAAAGAAAAATAGTAAATTAGCATATAAATTACATAAACAAAAGATATCAACAATAAAAAAACAACCGAAATACGCTTCTAATCTTTACAAGATGAAATCTGTTAAATGTTCATCCCCTAACACAGAAGCAGTTTAAATTAATGTACTACACTGTCGTCGAGTGTTGACACTTCCAATATTGCAACCCTTAAGTAAGTTTATAAAACAGTTTTGTGCGGGTGCTGTTACAAGTTAGTGAAGGGGCATTCAATTATCCACTCCGCTACTATGACTGTTTCATTCAGATAACAGCCGGAACACATTTGGAATTCATATTGGATTTGATAAAATTCGCCCCTACCTTCTTTTTGCTTTTTATTTGTTTTTTCCTCTCCGAGCGAGGGTTGGATATTCGACGATTAATTAAATTTCAAGTTTCTCCAATCAAGCATCGAAGTGCGACATGGTCACTGAAATTTGAAATAAAAGTAGAAACTTTTGAGTAATTTTTTAAGCCCAAATATTAATTCTAACTAGAGGTCTTATCGGAAATTGATAGAAGGTATAGATAGTCATTAAATGTAGAGATTTATTTTTTTTATAAAATTATTTAAGTCGTGTATAAATGATAATCTTGAATTTACTAAGAACGCGAATACTGGCCTTAGTAAAAAAATATTTAAAAAGTAAATCCGCACAATTTATTTAGTAAATAAGTGGATTAAAAAAATATATCACGAACTGCTTCAAATTATGAAATGGACCGTAAGTTTTACTCAAAAGTTTACAAAAAGTATAGCGACAGAAGAAATTCAGTACCTTCGATACAATGATGCTAGGCAACTCAGGTGGCTCTTTATCTGTTCAATATTAACACCTAATGACCGTTATACTTATATACAAGGGTTTATGGCCCTATTAGACCAGTAACAAAATAATCTCAATGCTTTCCATTTATTCGCCTATTAGTACCCATGGTAATTGACGGGCAATTCAAAAAATGTACGTCAATAGGATGTAATATTCAGGAGTAACAACGTTTTCATTTTTTAAAACCGTTTCATAAATTTTTTCATACATTTCATGTAGGTATATTGTTACCTACTTATCAAAAACAATTTAATAATATCGATTACATAAACATTATGTACAATTCGGACGATTAGATAAACATAACGAAGTGTTGGTTGTCGGCACGTTCTTGAATCTAGCAGCTCTGTTAAAAAACTGTTCATATAAAAATTGATAATCTTATGTTCCATATATCTTACATACTTTAGGTGACAAATCTCAAAGAAAATTTCTACCAGCAATATTGTCGACCAATGATATGCGGATTTCGTATCACATTTCCATAGCAATCAAGGAATTTATCGGCAATTTTTTGACGTAAAAAGGTAATAATATTTTGACATAAAACCTCACTTTTTCGTTGAGGGTGTGAAATTTTCTTACCAAATAGAAATTTTTTCTTGCTCACGAATATTTCACGAAAGTTTAAATATTTGTGAGCTCGAAAAGTTTCCGGAAATAGCAAGCACTAGTAGTGATAATTTTTTATTCCAGCATGTCGTTAGTAAAAAATTGTCAAAGTCCTCGTGTGAGATCGAAGGACTTCAGCGCATTTTTGTGTATTCTATTAGCCACTTTTGACTCCACCATCACTAAGATGCTGTCGAAGGCTACCACATTCCCTTTGGCGGTACCCACTTCCAACGTTCCGTTCACCCGCAAATTCGCGTTTGAAGTTTTGAGTCCACCATAAGTAAGATCTCCTCGGGGGTTATAGACGGAAATCTGAAAATTTGCATACCGACATAGTTTATCTTGAACTATCGAAAGAAAACATAGTTTTTCTTGAACTATCGAAAGAAAACAGTATCATGATCGTTTTACTTCCGGTTCTACCGGATTTCGATAGCAACTTACTTATTTTAAGTAGAACAACCTATAAACATTATGCATAACGGTCACAATTTAAAAAAATCTAAAATAAAACGGATAACAGATAGGTATAGGGCACGTAATACTTAATCGATGTAGAATTTGTTTCGACATTTGAAAGAGCAAAAAAAGAAAACCTGTTTCATTTTAAAAAATCAATTTATTAAGGTTTAAAGGTTTTCAAAGTGACCATTAGTTTTAAAACACCCTGTAGAAGGGCGATCTAAATTTAAATCATTGTCACGCAGCATCAAGTCAGTACTGTTGATTTTGGAATACTTTTGAAATTCAATCAACTGAGTCATAGGTATAGGTACAGAGATCAAAAGAAAAGCAGTCAAGCGTCAAAAATTTTGCAAAATCTTGAATAACTTGAAAACCTTTGATGCTTTGTATAAGGAAATGTGCTATCAAACGACGTAGATTTTCGTATGGAAGCCGAGAATGCAATAAAATATAGGGTGTTTTATTTAAAATAAGAAAGTTGGTTAAAGCGGAAATGAGACGATCATGATAATATTTTCTTTCGACAGATGATAAAAAACTATGTTGGTAGTTGGTATGCAAATGTTCAGATTTCAATGATTAATGAAAGCCTAAATACTTTTAGGTAACGATTTACGTGAAACAGCCTGTAGAACCGAGGAATAGTGCTCGTTGGTATGTTTAGCGTAAAATAAAAAAAGGTGTGTGCACATTCGCATCTTAAGTCAAGTGCGATAAATTCGGGCCCGTAGGTCATTTAGGGTCAAGACAGGTTTCTTAGTTAAATTTGGATCTGCGAGTCTTTGGTTAGCAGATCTGACATGTTACGGGCACATGGGTCAGAAAATCCTTCTCAGCAGCAGAACTGTTTCCTACGAAATACCTCCAACCGTTATCGAGGTTGTACGAAGGAAGCACGAAATTTGATTCCAAAAGCCTGCCTTGACATACATTTCTACGACTAGCTTCTACATATACACAATATCAGCTGAGTTCTAATATCTTTTTGATTCCAAAACAGTTAAAAACAAAGCAAAAGATTTAAATTTCACTTTGAATTTTATGGATCTTGAAGTTTACCGTATTTTATTCCATCATTTAATTGGTACATTCTGAAAACCAGCCCATGTCATTTTTCAATAAGATCATTTGTTTAATAAATTTCGCTATTTTTATTGTTAATTAGGTGGTAAATAAAATAATTTTATTTTACGTACAATTATTATACGTAACTACAACAATGAAATTGATAATGGGTGGTTTTCAGTCATAATAGTTCATGGTACCATTGATGTGCATTGCTTAGTACAGATACCATCTGTTGTATTTCAATGGATTGTTATGTAAACAACGTCATGTAGATGTTAATTCGGTCAAACAACCAAAAATAATGATCGGACATCCTGTATATGATAATATCTCAATTTATTAAGTGTACCTAAATCTGGAGGATTATCTACGCATAAGTGCAAAGTTGGTTTATTGTATCTAAATTGTGTTGTTTTTCTTTTTAGAAGTTTTACAATTGTGCAATTCTTGTTTAAATTTTATCGCTTTTGTAAAATGTTTATATAGATTTGTATATTTAATTGTAAAACGTGGAACATATGGTCATTTGCGAAAGAGTTTTTATCGGAAGAAATTTAATTAACGCACGTGCTCTTATCGCTGTTAAGTGTTTCGCGCGTTATTTCAGCGTAAGTGGGGAGGCGTTTCTTTGAAGCTGGCGTAATCAAGTCTAAGTGAGATTGGTGGTGTTTTTGTCCAAACAAGCGTTGTAAGCTTTCCTTTCTTTCAGGGTTCTGATTGTTTCATGTATTTTAGAATAAATTTTTGTCAGATTTTTTTTCTATTGGTGCCCAAGATTTATTTCAGACGTTGATCCAAATTTGTGTAATAAAATTCTTTGGAATTTTCAGAAGTTGGTCAAGGCCACCGAGTCTATCAAATTGAATAAAAATTAAGCCAATAGGGTTCTTCTAGCCGATGCCGGATAAGTACGAGGAGAGATTATACAATTTTAAGTTTCAATTTTCATTTGTTTTAAGCTAGCAGCTGGCTCGCCAGTGCCTACAACAATATGCATATGCGAAATAAATGATTCGTCAAAAATCAGTGATCAAAATCTAGGTACATTTAGGTTTAGTGTTTTTGTGACCAAAGTTTACGCATTTGACGTTATCCCGGCCTTCGCGAATGGGGTACGATATTTTCGGGTGGCTGGTTTAGTGCGCGTCACCTGTGGGTGTTATTTATACTACGAAGCGTATAAAAGAAATCCCGACAAAAATAAAAATGCAAGAACATTGAAGATGCACCTACGGTTAAAAATGCACTGAATCAAGAATATAGAGGAAGTAATTAATTAGGCTTATACAAACGTACGTAATTTATTCGAAGTAGGGATTTGGCATTAGAATAAATGCTGCTTTTTATTGTTTTGCTGTACGATATCAAAAGAGACAACATGTTGCACATCTTTTAACAGGGCCATAAACACGTATTGTACCACAACGCAACAATTTCAATGCTACTATGTTTACGACTTTGCCCACCCAACGAGTAGTCTGCTGGTATTACAATTTAAAGATCAAGAGAACTTAATATGTGATTTACAGAATTTATTTCATGTTTGTGCAATGCACTATAATTAAAAGTCATATTAGTTAAGAGTTATCGCGCTTGTTAATGCAACGGTTACCAAAAATATCTATTTCAATTTTGAAAACTCATTTATATTTACAGCACTGAAACATTAATCAGATTTATGGTGCTATCGCATTATTATTTAAGACTAATTAAATATAATAAACTCGTATAAGGTATTTAGAACAAAGTGATTAATAAATTGTAGAAAAAGGTGACAATCCTTCTAGGTCGGATTATTAAACTACTTACAATGGAGCGAGCTAGACAAGAATGCTTAATTAAAACCACCAACTGACACACGGTTCAGTCAATAAATTGCAATCAGTTTGAATTGTTCTATACTTCTACTATTGATTTTTATTCTAAAGGGCAACTGACGCAATTACGGAGACTTTCTCTGTAGTTTGCGTTTGCCCCGATGTTAATTGGGGCAAC